TGAAAAGAAGAAGAAGAAGAATGAAAAGAAGAATGAAAAGAAGAAGAAGAATGAAAAGAAGAATGAAAGAAGAATGAAAAGAAGAATGAAAAGAAGAATGAGAAGAATGAAGAGAAGAATGAAAAGAAGAATGAAAAGAAGAATGAAAAGAAGAATGAGAATAATGAAAAGAAGAATGAGAAGAATGAAAAGAAGAAGAAGAAGAATGAAAAGAAGAATGAAAAGAAGAAGAAGAAGAAGAATGAAAAGAAGAATGAAAAGAAGAAGAAGAAGAATGAAAAGAAGAATGAAAAGAAGAATGAGAAGAATGAAAAGATTCTTCTTCTTCTTCTTTTCATTCTTCTTTTCATTCTTCTTCTTTTCATTCTTCTTCTTCTTCTTTTCATTCTTCTTTTCATTCTTCTTCTTTCATTCTTCTTCTTTTCTTCTTCTTTTCATTCTTCTTCTTCTTCTTCTTCTTCTTTTCATTCTTCTTCTTCTTTTCATTCTTCTTTTCATTCTTTTCTTCTTCTTTTCATTCTTCTCATTCTTCTTTTCATTCTTCTCATTCTTCTTTTCATTCTTCTTCTTCTTCTTTTCATTCTTCTTCTTCTTTTCATTCTTCTTTTCATTCTTCTTCTTCTTCTTTTCATTCTTCTTCTTCTTCTTTTCATTCTTCTTTTCATTCTTCTTCTTCTTTTTTCATTCTTCTTCTTCTTCTTTTCATTCTTCTTTTCATTCTTCATTCTTCTTTTCATTCTTCTCATTCTTCTTTTCATTCTTCTTTTCATTCTTCTTCTCATTCTTCTTTTCATTCTTCTTCTTTTCATTCTTCTTTTCATTCTTCTCATTCTTCTTTTCTTCTTCATGAAAAGAAGAATGAGAATGAAGAATGAAAAGAAGAATGAAGAAAAAAAGAAGAAGAATGAAAAGAAGAATGAGAAGAAAAAATGAAAAGAAGAATGAAAAGAAGAATGAGAAGAATGAAAAGAAGAATGAAAAGAATGAAGAAATGAAAAGAAGAGAAGAAAGAATGAAAAGAAGAAGAAAGAATGAAAAGAAGAATGAGAAGAATGAAAAGAAGAATGAGAAGAAGAATGAGAAGAATGAAAAGAAGAATGAGAAGAATGAAAAGAAGAATGAAAAGAAGAAGAAGAAGAATGAAAAAAGAAGAATGAATGAAAGAAGAATGAAAAGAAGAGGAAGAGAATCTTTTTCTTCTTTTCATTCTTCTCATTCTTCTTTTCATTCTTCTTTTCATTCTTCTTTTCATTCTTCTTCTTTTTTCATTCTTCTTTTCTTTTCATTCTTCTTTTCATTCTTCTTCTTCTTTTCATTCTTCTTTTCATTCTTCTTCTTCTTTCTTTTCATTCTTCTTCTTCTTTTCATTCTTCTTTTCATTCTTCTTCTTCTTCTTTTCATTCTTCTTCTTTTCATTATTCTTTTCATTCTTCTCATTCTTCTTCTTTTCTTTTCATTCTTCTCATTCTTCTTTTCATTCTTCTTTTCATTCTTCTTCTCATTCTTCTTCTCATTTTCTTCTTCTTTCTTCATTCTTCTTTTCATTCTTCTCATTCTTCTTTTCTTCTTCATGAAAAGAAGAATGAGAAGAAGAATGAAAAGAAAAGAAGAAGAAGAAGAATGAAAAAAGAATGAAAAGAAGAATGAAAAATGAAAAGAATGAAAAGAAGAATGAAAAAGAAGAAGAAGAAGAATGAAAAGAAGAATGAGAAGAAGAATGAAAAGAAGAATGAAAGAATGAAAAGAAGAATGAAAGAGAAAAGAAGAATGAAGAAGAATGAAAAGAAGAATGAAAAAGAAAAGAAGAAGAAGAATGAAAAGAAGAAGAAAAGAAGAAAAGAAGAATGAAAAGAAGAAGAAGAAGAAGAATCTTTTTCTTCTTCTTCTCATTCTTCTTTTCATTCTTCTTTTCATTCTTCTTCTTCTTCTTTTCATTCTTCTTCTTCTTTTCATTCTTCTTCTTCTTCTTTTCATTCTTCTTCTTCTTCTGAGGATGAGGATGAAGAAGAAGAAGAAGAAGTAGGATGAAAATAAGAAGAATTCCAAGCCGGCAAAAAGTGTATCTGCAGAGCTCCTCTATTTCTGACAGTTCTCTGACATTCACATTTACAGCGGTTGAAACATTGTATCTATTTGTTTCCATTTATGGAAACAAATAGATACAATGTTTCAACCGCTGTATGGAGTGAATGTCAGAGAACTGTCAGAAATAGCGGAGCTCTGCAGATACACTTAGCGGAGCTCTGCAGATACACTTTTTGCCGGCTTCCGGCTTGGAATTCTTCTTATTTTCATCCTACTTCTTCTTCTTCTTCTTCATCCTCATCCTCTACAAGAAGAAGAAGCGGATGAGGATGAAGAAGAAGAAGAAGAAGAAGAAGTAGGATGAAAATAAGAAGAATTCCAAGCCGGCAAAAAGTGTATCTGCAGAGCTCCGCTAAGTGTATCTGCAGAGCTCCGCTAAGAAATAGCGGAGCTCTGCAGATACACTTTTCATCTTTCTTCTCATCCTTCTTCTCATCCTTCTCCTTCTTCTCATCCTTCTCCTTCTTCTCATCCTTCTCCTTCTTCTCATCCTTCTCCTTCTTCTCATCCTTCTCATCCTTCTCCTTCTTCTCATCCTTCTCCTTCTCCTTCTTCTCATCCTTCTCCTTCTTCTCATCCTTCTCCTTCTTCTCATCCTTCTCCTTCTCCTTCTTCTCATCCTTCTCCTTCTCCTTCCTCATCTCCAAGGGCATTTAAATTAAAGGTACAGTGTTCTGCACTAATATAAAGGCTCTCTGAAGCCTAGAAACCCTTTTTATAAGGTAAATTCGCAGCGAATAAATTTGCATCGAATCGAATTTCTTCCTCAAATTCGGCGAATCAGCCGAATCGAATTTTTGAATAATTCGCTCATCTCTAGTTGTGATGGGTCCTCTTTTTGGCCAGATCTCTCTTCTGGCCTCCAAAGCAGGAGATCCAACCAAGATTGGTTTCATCTGATGCTTTTACAAGCCGGCAATGACTTGTTTACATGAGACCGAAACCAGAAGTGGTGAAATCCTCATTGCTTCCGCTTTCTGGCATCGCACAGAGGGAGAAACAACATCAGTTCCTCTCACTGTGTCCCAGGAACTGGGCAGGGCAAACCCCCTTCTACGCCTGTGAACGTAATCCAGCAGCTCCTTAGCCGCTTGGATTACTTTTATTAGTTTGGCATTGCTGGCTCTAAAAGAATGTTACCGTACCTCGAGCATTGCTGCAGCTGAAGCAATGACAGAGATATCACCCTTCCTATCCAAGGACATACGGGTACAGGAAGTAGTTAAGGAGACATCATTGGTCTATTAGACTCTGAGTATCACCTTTGCACTCAATTAAAGCTGATCAGTGTTAAATCCAGAATTGATGAGAGGCTTGTCACTTCCAGGTTTTTTCTCTGCAAAGGGATGATTAGTGAGTGGATGTTCTCTGATCTCCAATCTATCCACACAAACCTTCTATGGATAGTTTATAAGCCAGTGTGCTACCACCAGCTTTACATCTGTGTCCATCTGAACCCCTTAACTTTCCTCCTCCCCCCCAAATCACATCCCAGCAATATTCTTCATTCCTTTACTTTGTTCTTGTTATTAGAAGCATATTTTATTACTCCCTGACTTGTAAAATCCTTGCAGAAATACCTACTAGGAGCCCAGTTTCTATTGATGCGGGTACTCCCCCAGAACTACATCTCCCAAAACCCCTTTCCCATACACTGTGCGGGCAGGATCTTGGAAGTCATGGCAGCAGCACTGTTTTGCTAGAAAATAAATGAATGTATGAATGTGGCAGAGAGGGGTGAGGGATAGACGGACTTCTGTAGTCCAGAAGGTAGGTAATGATTAATGCATAATTAAGTAACATTTTTAAATACAAGTAGTGTAAGTACCTACATTTGTACCTACATTTGTCTTGCGTAGAGCTTGAGTGGTAGATGCAGCACAAGTAGCCAATCAGTTAATTTACTAAAAAGATTCATGCTGATAGGGGGAGAGAACAGAGTGACAGAGATATGAGCTCATTACAGTGCTGGTTCTTCTTTCACTGTTGAGTAACAGGAAGGGTGCATGCCTAGGACAACCTGGGTTCAGAGGAAGTGGGTTGAATGACACTGGCCATGAGACTGAGGACATCTGTGTGGAAATCTCTGGAATGAAGGTAAATATTGTAGCAAAATCTTGGTTTTGGCGTTTTATGTTTTAATAGGCTATTCATTTGTATCTTTTCATTTTTTGTATAGTAATGTCCACATTAAATACGGAGTAGGGAGCAGTCCAGATGTAGTACTGGTTCCCTCAGCATTTTATCTGTATCTGCAAACAAGACACCACAGCTGCCTTCAATCACTGATATTGATTTTGGAATTCTTTCGCACGTTCGTTTTAATGACACTTAATCCCTTCGTCCATCACCGGCATATCTGCAGTGCTACTAAGTAGTGTTTGATACTTCATCATCCTGTCTACAAATTCCCAATAATGTTTCTGTATTATTTCCTTCCAACACTTGGATCCAGAGCTTATCAAATATCTCTGTGATATGCAACTCGCTGGAGAAATCAAAGTGCTAATTAAGATTTAAATTTTAACCAACTTGTTCCGTGTCTACGTAATACTCTATTGATTGTCAGCCTTTGCTGCTGGTTGCATCTACAAACTATAGTGTGCCTTCACTAAGTGCACACTTTCCTTACATGATTTGACTTTTATATTTTTATATTGTTTTATGTGATGTTTATTTTTCTACATGTTTGCTCTTCAATATTTTATAATTATACTCTAGATACAAATTTAGATTTGACCTTTTATTTGGATTATGGATGAGATTACGTTTCGTAGCCTCCCCGGCAGTATTCCCGAGTGTAGCTCGGGGTAAAGTTTCAGTACCACAAGCGGTAACCCTGAGCTACACTCGTGCTTAACATGAGGCGCTGCTCCGGCATCTGTTCTTCTCTTACCTTGTCCTGCGCTCCCACGATGTCTCTCCTGCAGTGTCCCCTGTAATGTCCTCCAGCGGATGCCGGCATCTGTCTTCTGGGTTCCATTCCCTGCGACGTCGGGATGTATGGGGACAGAACGGAGAGAAATTTGAAAATGACAAAAATTGGCATTCACTAAATTCACTAAAATCACATAGTAAAACATTACTGTATCAAACCATTTCACATACATTTTGTCCCGAGTGCTTTGTCCTGTGCCCTGCCTGCATTTTTTACTGTTCTTTCTGCCTGGAAACTGAGAAACGCCCATGGCGTCCAAAAAGCGTCCCTTTAGGTCAAAATCGGTTTTAGACCAGCTAGAGAACAGCGATAGTAAATTAGAACCACTTGCAGAATTGAGTGATAATGATTTGTGGGGGAAATTCGTCATCAGACACTGAAAACGATTCTGCGACTTGGCGCTCTATTTCAAATTTCAGTGTTTTTGGTTTGATTATATTATTGAATTAAATTTAATTATTATATTATTATTTTTTTATGATTATTTATTAAATTATAATTTATGATTTCGTGTTTCGAATTTTAACATACCCGGGATGTTTACTAGACTCTTGTTCGGACAGATTACAGTGAGTTATTCCTAAAAATTACAGGTCGACAATAAAAAAAATACACATTTCCATGCAAAAAACATGTACCGCTACAGAAATATGGACATAATCAGACCGCTAGGGAGGTTAAGAACCAGGTTTGGATTTGAACCTGGAAGCCACTTGTCATCCCTGGTCCAAAGAGCTGCAAACATTGGATTCCCCATGCCCCAGCTGATGTTACAAAGGGGCTGGGATGCTAATGACATAATTTGACGAATATGACAACAGGGTCACATTAGGTCAATGTCATTGACCTACAGTAATATGCCCTTAGGGCCATATTAGGTCAATGACGTCATGAGCATCCCCAACCCAATATCATTGACCTGATATGGTCTTAGGCCATAATAGGTCAATGATGTCATGAGCATCCCCACCCCAATATCATTGACCTGATATGGTCTTAGGCCATAATAGGTCAATGATGTCATGAGCATCCCCACCCCAATATCATTGACCCGATATGGTCTTGGGCCATAATAGGTCAATGATGTCATGAGCATCCCCACCCCATTATCATTGACCCTATATGGTCTTGGGCCATAATAGGTCAATGATGTTATGAGCATTCCTACCCCAATGTCAGTGATCTGATATAACCTTGGGGCCATATTGAGTCAATAATATCATGAGCATTATTATTATTATACAGGATTTATATAGCGCCAACAGTTTGCACAGCACTTTACAAAATGAAGGTAGACATTACAGTTACAATACAATTTGATACAAGAGGAAACAGAGGGCCATACTCATTGGAGCTTACAATCTACGAGGAAGGGTTGAGTGGTACAAAAGGTAATAGCTGTGGGGGGATGAGCTGATGGAGGAAATATAAGGCAGTTTACTAATTAGAAGCAGGATACGCTTCTTTAACCTCCCTAATGGTCTGATTATGTCAGTATTTCTGTGCTCAAAGAGGTACATTTTTTGTACATGGAAATATGTATTTTTTTTATTGTTGGCCTGTAATTTTTAGGAATAACTCACTGAAATCTTTCCGAACAAGAGTCTTGTAAACATCCCGGGTATGATAAAATTTGAAACACAAAATCATAAATTATAATGTAATAAATAATCATAAAAAAATAATAATATAATAATAAAAGGAAAGAAAAGGAGAGATTGAAGATATGAGTTAAAGAGTGAAAAATAGAGCCAGAGGGTGACCGTAGTATTTGCGAGGGAACAGGGTCCCGGGAACAGGTGGTTAGGTGGGCTTTAGAAAAATGTTTACCAACCTCCTCTATAGTAGCTGGGTTAAACAAGGGAAGTATAGATTGTGCAGGTGGACAAGGAGTGTAGGGTGAGAGAGATATCTGTACAGTGGCGATCTCGTCACAAATTGTATCAATCCTATTTTTGAAGGGATTATCGATCTCCTGGGCAGTGAGTGAGTTAATGGGTGGAGGTAGAGAAGGAAAAAGTAGAGCGTTAAAGGTGTAAAAAAGTTGACGGAGATTGCGTGAGAGGGTGTTAATGAGAGTGATAAAATAGGTCTGTTTGGCAGTGTGGATACAGGAGTTGTATTTTTTGAAGGGCAGATTTATATTGGTCAAAGTCTTGCTGGGTCTTAGTCTTACGCCATAAATGCTCACGAGCACGGTTACATTTTTTGAGGCATCTGGTATTGTCTGTTTGCCAGAGCTGTAGTGGTTGGGGCCTAATTCTGTGTGCAGTGAGGGGGGCCAAAAAGTCCACGGTGGATGACAGTGAACTGTTGTGGACAGAAATTGCCAGATTGGGGCAGGACAGGGCTGAGACTTTGTCATAGAGACAATCTGTTGCCGAAAAAAGAAACGAAGTGTTAAAATAGTGAAGGTTTCTATGGGTAACTGTTTGGTAGTTGGAAGACAAGGAGAAGGAAGCCAAGGAGAGAGTGAAGCTAATAAGGGATTGATCAGAGAGGGAAAGTTGGTGAGGTTGCAAGGAGTGCATAGGTAGGAGAATACAAGGTCGAGGCAGTTACCATTAGAGTGAGTAGAATGTGTCCATTGTTTTAGGTCAAAAGAAGTGGTTAGGCTCAGAAGTTTAGTAGTAGCAGGAGTGTTAAAATTAACAGGGATGTTGAAGTCACCAAGAATGACTGTGGGAATTTCAGAAGAGAGAAAGTAAGGCAGCCAGGCAGAGAAGTCATCAAGGAAGCTTGATACCGGTCCAGGAGGCCGAAAGATCACAGCAATACTTAAAGAAACTGGAGAGAACAGATGAATACAGTGAACTTCAAATGAGGAGAGGGACAGAGAGCGAGGTGAATGAAGGACCTGAAAAGTTCTTTTAGGGGATAGGAGGATTCTAACTCCACCTTCTTTCTGTCCACTAGGCCTGGGAGAGTGAGTTCAGAGGAGACCACCATGGGAGAGGGCAACAGGAGAGGGAAAGTCAGATTAATCAAGCCAGGTTTCTGTAATTGCAAGTAGGTTATAGGAGTTTGTGATAAAAATTTCATGGATAGAGGGGAGTTTGTTACAGACAGAGTGAACATTCCAAGGGGCACAGGAAAAGGTTCTAGGAAGAAGATAAATAGTAACTAGATTGTGTAGATTGTGGCTGCTGTTAGAGGATAGGGTGTGTCGGGTGTGTTGGTCAAAGGAAAAAGATGCGGCCCAGGATTTGGGGAAATGTCTCCAGATGTTAGGAGAAACAGAAGGGTGAGAGAGGTAATATGGGAGTATGACTTATATGAAGGTACAGGTCCCAGTGTCCTGGAGGTTTTATTAGTGTGTGGGTTCAAAATTAGCAAGGAGTTGATGAGTACAGTAATAAGGTGAAGACAGGAGTGAGGGTGATATATAGAAGTTGTGGGGGTGGAGAAGAGGGGTGAAGGAGAGAGAGTTTGAAGAGAGATACAATTGTGAGAAGGAGGAGTAGGGAGAGCATGTTACATGTGAGATGAAGAAGCAGACTGAGTAAGAGCTGAAAGAGCTGGATGAGGAAACAGGTAACCTGTAGTCGGATTAGAATTTAAAGTTGTCTGCTGTGGTTTCTCGCTCTGTGCTTTCGCTGAAGTGCAGAGCCGAAGTGCAATGCTCAATACTTAATCCAAAATTAATACTTTAGCCAAGATGATCGTTGCCAGTGCTGCCCCTGGCTGGGCCTCCCCTAAGGAAGGCCTAAATTTATACTGAGTTTCGTGGGGTATTGCCAATTAATCAATTAGGAATGCATAAGAGAGACACATGGCTAGCAGAGCAAACTTCTCATACCAAAGGAGGACTACAAGAGACAACAAGAGAGCAGGAGGGCAGAGTTGTAAAGATTAGGATCAGCTCACAAATTTGGGGTTAGACAATAAGAGCAAAATAAACAGCACAGTAATATGGACCAGAGTTAAAGATTTTGGAAGCAGTAAAAATTACCAATAAGAACATTGATAGTTATGAATCAGCTTTAGAGGTAGATTTTAAAAGCAGTATAGATTACCATATAGCACTGCAGGGTAAATTAGCATCCCATGCAATGTCATTGACTTGATATGGCCTTGGGGCCATATTATGTTAAAGATGTCATGAGCATCCCTGCCCCAATGTCATTGACCTGATATAGCCTTAGGGCCATATTAGGTGAATGATGTCATAAGCATTCCATCCAATGTCACTGATGTGATATGACCTTGAGGCCATATTAGTTCAATGATGTCATGAGCATCCCTGCGACAATGTCACTGACCTGATATAGCCTTCAGGCCATATTAGGACAATGATATCATGAGCATCCCCCACCCTAATGTCATTGACCTAATATGGCCTTGGGGCAATATTAGGTCAATGATGTCATGAGCATTCCTGCCCCAATGCAATTGACCTGATAAAGCTTTGGGGCCATATTGGGTCAATATTTTCATAAGCATCCCATCCAATGTCATTGACCTGATATGACCTTGGGGTCATATCGGGTCAATAATATCATGAGCATACCATCCAATGTAATTGACCTTATATGGCCTTGTGGCTGTATTTGGTTAAAGACGTCATGAGCACCCCCGCACCCAATGTCATTGACCTGATATAGCCTTGAGGCCATTTTAGGTCAATGGTGTAATGATGTAACATAAGCTGTGAGGTGGGAAATTGCCTGTCCCTGGCTCTTTGGACAAGGAATGATAGCTGAACAAAATCCAGTTCCGAACACTGTACCCTTTAAAACAACTTTCATTTCCCCTTCCCTTATTGACTTTAAGGCATTCCTCCAAAATGGCAAAATCTAATTTTCAACAAAATTTCACAAAAATGTCTAAATTTCACTTATCCTTGCTCACCACCGGTAGAATCTTTGGAGGTATAAAAAAAAAACTGAATGGTGATCTGTCCTTCCAGCAATCATTCAAAAACTCAAATACTACTTCTGAGTGGACTTACCCTTTAAATTAATGTGTCTCATCCAGACAGAATGTACGCTTACTGCCCCACCCTGTCCTCGGTTTTGTTCGACATGAAAAGCGCACATCTATCACCCTCCTGGCACTTCACACTCACTAATTTGTTATTTCATAATTTTTTTTTGTTCACATTGGTGTTAATAAATGAGTTGTGTATCCAGCTGAGCAAACAATGATCCTTTGAATTAAAAGCATAACTTCACGAATAGATCTTTCACTTACTTGCAGGTGAAAGTCGGGTTTCTGGAAGCCAATGGACCCAAGACTGTCCGGAGGACAACACAAATACACTCATCATGATGGGGCTTGTTTAGCCAAGACTCACACAAACTCTCAATTTTTTTGTGATCTGAAAAAAAAAATGCA